GGAATGGGGCACCTGCGAAGAGGGGCCGCTCCGGGCGTCCACCGAGCCTCCATCGGGCGGCGGCGGTATCGACAGGCTCCGCCGGCGGCGCTCTCACGGCGGCCGGGAGCGCAGGGGCAGAGGACCGCGCCGGCGGCGTTGATGACGGCAGCGCCACTGCCGCCGCCGCGTTGGCCGTTGCCCTCGCTCGCTCCTGGCGATAGCGTGCCTTTAGGGCTTTCCTTCTTCTCCCCTCGGTGAGGCGGGCCTCCTCGACCGCGCGTGCCGCGGCAGCCTCCCGCGCAGACGTTTCTTGTCTGCGCTCCCGGTGACGGCGCTGCCGCTTCCTCTCTTCACCCTCGCTCGCCGGCAAGGTCGCCGCTTCCACCCCCAGGTCGACCATCGCCTCTCCATCGCTGGTCGCTAGCCGCGGCGGTGGGGATGGCGGCGCCCGTCGGCCACTGTCAGCGGGCGATGGGGAACAGGCAGCACCCTCTGGGGTGTCAGCAGCCATCTTGTCAACGGCGCCCTCGTCGGCCGTCACTCCCGGTATGGGGACGGCGTCTCCCTCGGCCGCCGGGAGCACGGTAGGGGCAAGGAGGGCCGCCAACCCTCCACGCCTTGGTGTGGCGACCGCCTCTTCTTCCCTTGCCGAAGCGCCACCCTCGGCAACCACCTTACTTGCCCACGCCAATACGACAGGCGAGGGGTGGGCCGTCTGGGCGGGGTTCGGTGTGGGTTCGTAGCCCGAGGACGGGGTCTAGGGGCGGGCAGCCCCTCTTCTTCGGCGCTGCTGCTGTCACGGCTGCTGCCATCGCTGCTCGACGTCCACACGTATCCCCCCTTCAAATCTTCCACCATCTCTCCTATCATTATCTCTCTGTTTTGTTTTTCTTTTTACTTCTGTTCGGCCTTTCCTCTATGGGTGTCTGCACGCGTTTAAGGAGTTTGCCTCTCTGCCTCTCCTTTTTATATGCTGGGCGAGCCACCACTGTCAGCAGTCTGACGTCATCACCCATTGTATTGCGCCACGCGGGTTTCGCACGCCCTAGATTCACTTTTAGCCGTGGGAT